TAGATATCTTGGGATGAAGGATGATACTAGAATGCACTTAAGCCACGAAAAGTTTAAAGGCAAAGACAAATAAGTTCTGGATAGAAAGAAAGAGAATCAGATACATAAATACAGTTTGATTTTACAAAGCAGGAAAATGATCTTGCAGAATATTCTAAATTACTAGATAACATTGCATTGGCCAAGAAAAAGGATTTACTGAAATTAAGATGCAAAATAAGAACATTTTAACTGTGGTAATGGTTATAATAGGCCATATCTAACAAAGGTCTCAAAGAAAGAATCTGCAAGATTTGGACACACATCAAACACAAACATTTAGAGAAAGGCCCAAAGTGAAGTCTACGTGCCAGATGGTACAGTCATCCTCCTCATCTGAAGTGAATGACAAAGACAACAGCGGGGGAAAATTAATAGGTCCATTTTACCAAGCAGAATTTAAACTGATGGCTAGAAACTCACAATGGGATGTCTAAAGGAGACACAAGGATTTTAGTTGGAGAAGTGAAAAGAGATTTAACTATTTGCAAACAGTGAACCTCTGGAGCACACAAATGTTACAAACCAGTACTTTGGATTAAGTGCTTGCTTACTTTGGATTAACTCTGCTATCTACATTAATAAATTATGTTTTCTGATCATGAAAAGCTAAAGCAACCCCAAGATGTGTAAATTTTATAGAATACAGTGAGAGCATTTCTTTGATCTATCATTTCTAAAATTCTAAAGGTCTTAAAAATGGGACCAACAGGAATGGCAGTTAAAGTAGAAGTTAGAAAAGCAATAGTTAAAATGTCAAAGGAGTACAAGAACATTGCTAATGCCTTGACTATACAGGAACCACTTAGTATATTTGCATTAAATGGAATACTTAAACAAACCCCATGAAAACTGAAATCAGGAGAAGCAGAGGGACATCATGAGCAATGGGGGAGAGAGGGAGAAAGAGATAGGTCACAGTATCAGTTTCCCTGATTGGCCTGATGAGGACAGAAACAGGGGCTCATCAGCCCCCAAAGTCATTTTGAAGTCCCTTTCTAAGAAAAAAGCATCCACAGTATGGGCTGCTGCCATTTGCTCAAAAAGACTCCACAGTTGCCAGATATTCTCCAAAAATTATCTCCGTTGTCTTAGTTGTCCTCTTCTGCAACTCTGTTTCTAACTAACTAGTCAAGAGCTCAGCCTTTTGTTTCTCTGGAATCAAATCATTCACCTTTAAGCTTGTCTGGTGTGAAGAGTCATTTCAATTAAAGCTAGCAAGATAAATTGCTGCTCCATAACTAACAGATCTATATGCGGTTGTATGCACATGTATCCCATAAAGATACTGGCACAACAAAAAATACATTAGGAATTCAGGAATTCAGACGTGACTTCCACCAAGCCAGACAGATCCAAGTGAAAAATCTCACCTCGTAGATGAAACTAGCATAGATCAGTGTCTGCTGTAGCAAAAGCAGGTAAGGCTTGCTAAAAGACTTGTTTCTCATGAACTCTGGAGAGTTCAATTTTGATTTGTAGGTGAGACTAAACAGAGATCTAGTGAGGTGAAAAAAGAAAACAGAATCTAGGAGACAAGTATGAAACTCTCCTGAAGATGTGAGAAGAAAAAAAACAGGTAAGAAGAAAACTGCAGAATCTATGTAAGGAAAAAAATGTAAACACCATCATGGTCACCTCTGTGGAGAGTAAGTGACATTTCAAAGCAGACAGGGACAAAATAGTCATCTTAAGTTAGAACCAGAGAGATTTGATTAGATCACATCTTCAGGTGATTTATACAAACAACATTTTCACTATCCTTTGCATTGCTGCTATACATCTCTTATTTGCAGTGAAAAGCTGATAGTGCTAACTCAAAATGGAAAAGGAAATTGTACTTTAAATGACTTTCTGCAAGGCTAAATATCAAATGATAGAAAAATTCTGAGCAAACACCAGTATAAATAGTTATTCAAAGTCAAATCTCTATATAACTTTACTTGAGAAATTAAGTCAGTCACTGAAATTTCAGTTTATTGGGTAGTAGCAACGGAACAGAAAAACACTAGGAAGTGCTAGATAAAGAACAAATGGGAGCTTTACAATCTACCCACACACAGGCATTCAGTTGCAATTCAGTCTTGCTTGAATAATTCTATTTCTTACTTGAGACTCTGAAACCACTAATGGTGAATG